AGAAAAATTATATTACATGCATTGTAAGATAAAAGGATTTTGGATTTCTTCTGACATTAAATAACCACGTCACTCGGGATATCTTAATGTTGTCATGGGTTTAATCGTCAGGAGCCGTGTTGTTACTTACACTCCTTTAGTGTCTAGAAGTCGTCAACAGCAGTTTCCAGCCGTTTCCAAGTGATTTTGAGGGGGGTCTTCATTTTCTACACACCGGGGGGATTGTGTAGAAAATGAAGACCCTGGTCGAAATTTTGTATAACTGAAAATCGTTAGGGGCCGTGTTGTTTCTTACACTCCTTTTGTGTCTAGAAGTCGTTAAAAGCAGTGTCCAGCCGTTTCCAAGTGATTTTGAGGGGGGTCTTTGTTTTCTACACACTGGGGGGGATTGTGTAGATAATGAAGACCCTGGTCGAAATTTTGTATGATTTTGAAGATATTGTTGTTTCTTACACATCTAAGGTCGAGATACCCATTTCTAGATATTTCCAAGTGATTTTGATCAGGGGGGTCTTCGTTTTTGGTTCTCAGGTCTTAGGTCTTCATTTTCTACCCACCCTCACTCAGGAACTTATATCAAAAGTAGCATTTGTAAATTGGTACATTGATTATGCATCAGTCAATTCCACGTGCGCCCAGCTCCCCCATGTATACATGTATGTATACATTTCCTCATTGCTTATCAAGCCAGAGTTACACAGCGGAATTGGAGCTATCGATGAGAATCAACGTTTTTTTTTTTGGTTATTGAATCAAATTTCTGTTGATATTATTTGAAAAACATCTTTTCATATTTATAAAACTATTCATGAGATATAACTTTACAGCGCTCTATTAATTTCAATGTCAATAATTTTATATCAAAAACCATAAACTGGTGCATGTTGTCGCGGCATGAAGTCTTAATTAGAACCCCCAGCGCTATTACAAAGGAAGACGTTAATTGAAACAAAAATCGCACATTAAAATGCTTAAAATGGCACTATTTGACTGTACGATCAATGAAAAATGTTGCAGTGTTGACGGAGGACAGGGCATTTGCCCTCTTTTTTCGTCCCCACCCTGGGGGAATGACAGCTCAAGAGTCCCCACCCCCAGGAATTTGCCATCCAAGGCAAAAAAAATGCTAATGCCCCGGGGGTCAGCCCGGGGGGTGGGGGCTGGGCGCAGGTGGAATTGACTGATATATTACCTTAAATAATTTTTAAAGTACTATCTCGACCATCTTATACCTGCTTGGAATAATCAGCAAGCTTTAGAATACCCTCTGCCGCAAAGACTTGTTGAGCACGTTTTCCTTTAAAAATTTGTACGATCTGCGAGCGAAGACTGCAACAATAACCTCTAATAAGCCCACTGTCTCTTAAAGAAGTTCTTATCAGGTAGAATATTATTTATAGTTAACCTTAATGACAGTATACGTAATTAGGACCAAAAGGATACAAACCAACATTTTCGTGTCTTTGATCGTGGAATAAAATTATTTTCTCCAGAAGTGTCCACATTGTTCCCAGATGTTGAAGTTTCAGCCAGAACAGAGCCCACAGCATAACGAAAAATAAACCATCGAGAGGCAATACAGTGTACCATCTCCTTGGAATAACAAAATTTTATAAAATTTCCCCCACCCTACACCCATTGACATTTTCTTCAACCGCTGACTGGTTTGTAGCGGGTGAATGATCTCGTGATCGCGTGATTGGATAACGTAAACTGTACGTCCTACAGAGAATGTGCTTACGAATGAAATTTTGTGTTTGTAGCCGAACACCGATTCCATCGAGTTTTGTTTTCATTGTCCATCGAGAGCAATTTTCCTTTTGGAGCCGAATGTTGTACACGTAAGCGGTAAGTAATGTTTAAAATCTCCGATAAAGTAATCTCTCTCTCTCTCTCTCCCTCTCTAACTGCTTATAGATAACTAAACGTCGTATGAGACTTCCTTCTGTAGTACTTCGCACGTCAAACGGAAGTGGCTTTTTGCATTCTGGGCAGTAGTTTTGCCCAGATTTTCAAGTAAGTCGCCTCATTAAGAGTAAAGAAACTTAGCAATACATTTTGGTTGCATCAAGACATATAAAAAGGGAAGAGGCCATACTTCCGGTTGACGTGCGTGACTCAAAAGTTCAAGCTCCCTATTGGCTTATGAAAAACGTTGCATGTACCCCTTTCCCCTTTCCTTCTTGGTCTTCCCCAATTTTTCCTTTCCCATCGCTACATATTGACTTTTCCCAAACTATGCCTTCTTTTTAAATGACCAACACTCACCACTTCAACTTCTGTCCGCCTTTTGATCTTTAAAGTTCTCTAACCATCGATCAGTTCCTCCCTTCTCGATTCCTTCGTTTTGTGTTCCGTCCGGAAAATTCTTAGAATTTTCCCGTAGCATTTCATTTCATATGGATAGGGGGGATTTGGGGAGTTTACTCCAGTATAGGGTAGCAAAATTCAGCTGAACAAGCTCTGGTATATAGGTTAAGGGTTCCAGGGTCCCAGCGGCACATCCCCACCCAGAAATTCCTAAAGTACCCCCCCCGGGGGATTAAACCTGTCCCCTGTTGTCTGTTGCAACGGAGCACAATGATGGACCTTGACTGAAACTTGAAAAACTTGGGTCAAATTTTTCAAATTTTAATGCTATGCCTGCAAAATTAAATGACAAAAATCATTATAATTACTTCTTCCTGATGAAATTTATTTGATATCCACAGGACCTATTTTATGTATTGAGTAAAGGCACTAATTAACGACTTCAGCACAGAATTATCTTAAAACAGCAGCCCATAACCCGGAGCGAGCAACTCCATACTAGGCCTTTATCACGGCGTTTTTACGGACCAGTTTATTTTTAGAAGCATTTTAGAGCACATTTTCCCTCGAAAATAGAACCTCCACCATGTCTATGAGCGCATTCGATGTATAAGATATCAAAAAGGAAAACTTAACGTCATTAAAAGGCAACAAAATATCATTTTTAGCTCTGTAGGTTTTGCTGACTGGTTTGTGGAATTTAAAAGATATTTCAAAGATTTGCCTTAAAACCGTTCTAAAAATAAACTGGTTTGTGAAAACGGCGTGGCACGAACGCGAAGTTGCTCGCTCCGGATAATGGGCTCCTGCTTAAAATAGCAATATCCCCTCGAAGTAGCGTTTAAAGGTAAAGATTTAAAATATTTAGAACCTGACTTTGTTGTATTAGAAAATGTCTTTCCATAATAAGAGCAAAAGTTGAAAACTGCATTAGCAGACCTGCTATGGCCGTCGGGTCTCGGGTGCGATCGCGAAAAAGGGTCTGTTCAGTTGACCTGTTTTGCATGCTACACTGCCGGATTACATTTTGCACCTGGCTCAAATCCTCGTCAGAGTCTCTCAGTTTTAAAATGCCTAGTTGCGCAACGGCGTTTACGGTAAAGTCGATCGGAGCAACACGTGTTGTGGTCAGCTGTGCACTTTCCACGTTATTTCAAAATTCCTTATCAGGTACGTGTTATTATTTAGGCTAGCTATCTAACACTTGTTTATTTTTTCTCTAGGTTATTCTAGTTCATTAAAAGTATTACCGAAATTCCCTTTATCCCTGTAATATACACGAAGTGTCAGGCAATGAACATTTAATTCATTTGGTAAATTCTTTGTATTAAATTTTTTTAAAACAGCTTTCAAGACTGTTACCCTCCTTCTGTTACCGAATGGCCTCTAAAGTGTATTCGGAGGAACAGCTTAACTACTTCCGGGTTTGTCACATAGCCACTGACATACTACCCCCAGCTTTACGATTACTGTTCAAGCAGGAATGGGACAATCGTTACAAGACAACACTTGGTGAATGGAACGACACGCCTCAAAATGGCCTGGACTTTAAAAACGGTGAGTCAGCAGATAATCAATCAAGAAATGCCGAACAGTTACTCACAATGGTAAATGGAAACAGGGTGCAGTGGGATTGTACTATGCTATTTTATGCCATCCTGCATTCTGATTCTATCAAACCTGGACTGAGTAAACTGATCAGAAAAAACGTTCATAAACTCAGAGAGTTTCGAAATAAATTCTACGCTCACAGGACAGAAGGCCAGTTCTCAAATACAGACTTCAAAACCACCGTTGCAAAAGTGGAGAAAGCATTTCGAGCTCTTGGCCTGTCTACTGTTGAAATCCAAACAGTCAGTAAGCAGAAAAGTTTTCCAACCGATGAGTTGCAAAATGTAAAGACAAGTAATCAGAAACTTACTCAAGACCTTCAGACGAAAGATGCGGAACTTCAAGACAAAGCTACTGAATTACAAGAGAAAGACGTAGAACTTCAGGAAGAAAAAGACAAGTTACAAGAAAAGCATGCCGAACTTCAAAAGAACAAAGACAGGCTAAAAACTACTGAAGAACAACGCAAGGTGTTTGAAGAGCAACTACAGCGCCAAGTAGAGCCATTTTGCGTCCGTCCACCCATACCTCGCCATGTGATCGCAAGTCGCGATTACCACGTTGATAAAGTAACACAGAAGCTGTTAAACTTAAGGAAGGCTAACGAGAACGCTTTAAGTTATTGTTATATTTCAGGCAATCCAGGGAGTGGAAAATCCCAGCTGGCTGGACTTGCTGCTGAAAAATTCTTCAAAGAAGCCAGCAAAGACGCAACTGCTCCGTCATTTGTAATGACTTTAAGTGCTGAAAACCCAGAAGCGCTTTTAACATCGTACCTGTCACTGGCAAGAAAAATGTACTGCCCCGAGTTTCCTATAAATAGCACCGAAAACTCCAAGGATCTAAGTAATGAACGGAAAATAGCCATTATCAAAGATTTAATTGCGACAAAAATTCACCTTTACTCATCTTGGCTCCTAGTGATTGACAATGTCACAAATCTTCATTTGATAGATCAGCTTCTTCCTAAGCGTGGAAATGAGCAGTGGGGCAAAGGCCAACTGCTAATCACAACATAGGATTGCTCCTGTATCCCTCCTGAGAGTTCCTTCACATCCCACATCTCCATAAGCAAAGGCATGGAGCCTGCTGATGCTATTTGCCTTCTAACCGAGCTCTCTGGAATCACTGACAATGACATGGGAGAAAACGTAGCCCACGCATTGGATTACCAGCCACTTGCACTAGCCAGCGCAGGAGTGTACGTGAGAAAGGTGCGAAATACCAATCCAAAGTTCGGCTGGGAGGGGTACTTAGAAAAACTAGAGAAAGGCAAACGTGAACTCACTGAAAAGGAACTTGCCAATGTAAACAATATCTACCCAAACTCTATGACTGTAGCGACCAAGATAGCTCTTAAAACGGTAATGGATTCTGATGAAATAATGAAGCACGCTTTCACTTTTCTTGCATTTTGTGCACCAGAGCCATTGAGGTTAGACGTGTTAACCACTTACGTTGTAAATGCTGATGAAGAACTGGATGAAGAGGACATAGGCATTCAGATTCAAGAATCCTCTTTGTTGCTAATCGAAAAAGAGGATAATGTCAACATTCGTTTACACAAGGTGGTACACTATATTGTCAAGCGTTTAGTTAAAGACCAAATGGAGGCTAATGAACATGCCCGCAATGCTTGTCTCGCAATCGGGTCATGCAGTCAATACCTTCATAAAGCAATACCAGAGATCCTGCGAAGTAAGGATTCCGTCGGTGGAAGCAGACATATTGTTCCACACGTAAAAACTCTAGCTGTAGAAATTACAAATATTATCTCTACTGAAGAGAAATTCGATCTCATCAAAAACTCTATTCTAAATATACACAATTCTATATATAACTTTGAGACGCTTGGTCACGTGTGCTTGTTACATAGCGAATACATGTCAGCAATGAATTTTTTTAGTGTAGCTTTAAAACTCATTGAAGACAACACGATAAGGACAGAGCCCGACCATGGACATGTTAAGCGGGTCTCGTGTATTTACCATAACATAGGTTTCCTTCATTGTCAATTAAGTGACTATCAACAGGGCAAGGAGTATTTTGAACGTGCCTTGTCCATACAACTTAATACGCTTAAACCCGACCATGATGAGGTCGCGACTATTTACCATAACATGGCTACCCTACATCACGACCTGGGTGACAATCAGCAGGCCAAGAAGTATTATGAACGTGCCCTGTTCATACGACTGAATAAGCTTGGACCCGACCATGTTGACGTCGCGACTACTTACCATAGCATTGGTATCTTACATCGCAACCTGGGTCACAATCAGCAGGCCAAGAAGTATTATGAACATGCCCTGTTCGTACAACTGAATAAGCTTGGACCCGACCATGTTGACGTCGCGAGTACTTGCCATAACATGGGGAACCTACATCGCATCCTGGGTGACAATCAGCAGGCCAAGAAGTATTATGAACATGCCCTGTCCATACAACTTAAGCTTGGACCCGACCATGTTGAGGTCGCGACTACTTACCATAACATGGGTATCCTACATCACGACCTGGGCGACACTCAGCAGGCCAAAGAGTATTATCAACGTGCTCTGTATATTACATTGAATAAGCTTGGACCTGATCATGCCAAGGTCACCAAATTGTCCCGTTTATTAGCTGATGTGCAGCGTGTTTTGGATTCCCAGCAGCAGGCGCCTGATCATCATGAACGTACACAGTTGAATCAGCCGCAAAAGCGTGGACCGGATCAAACTGATTTCGAATTTGCTAATTGCAAGAGGCGTCGCTAAGACGACTCTTCACTATTTTCAAATACTGTTATTGATAACCTATTGCACCGTGTCGTTGTTTACATTAAATGACTCAATTAACTGCAGTTTTTGTAGAATTTTAGCACACGTGATATTTATACGGGTTAGTTATGTAGGGGTATAGAATAGTAAATTCGAGAGTTTGCGAGACTGTCCGCTTAATATGGACACCCGTTAAAGCGGACAACGGACACTTCTTTCTTGCCAAATCAACACTGAGATTCTCATAGAAAGTCAACCTCGCTAATGCGGACACTTCATTATCAATTGTGTTTTGTAATAAACCTTTCCTTCTTGAAGGTTAAAAATCTTTCAGTTGACAGCATGTCGATGTTCCCAGCGCTAACAGTACATCATATAGGATAATCTGAGACGTCAATTTTAAGCTTAGTTTTGGCATCAAACGAGTTATACAGAGAACGGTTTTGATGATTAACATATACCTTAATCTTACTAAATTTCGCAATTTTCGCGATTTTAAAAAATACGCGAAATTTAATACGCGCAGACCAAAGATTGCGCGAAACTTAAACACGTGATATTCAATACCATTTTTTATTTTTTCCCAAGCTTGAGAGCGGGCGGAATCCTCCAAATCCTGCAATCTGATTGTTTCCGAGAGCAGGCGGTATTTTACGATCTTGCCCGCTTACCCGGGCGGAATTGTTGGTAGCTTCATTCACAGTTTGTTTGTTGTTTGTGAATGAGTAAAACTGTCATTTTCAAACTATTTTTCCTTTCAAAACTTACGCTATTATTAGCATTAGCTGGGGAAAAGTGAATGTTATTATTCAGACAAAAAATCTGAGGGAAGAATCAAGCAAGTCCGCTATCGCTTTCTGTTCAGCAAGCAGTTATGTTTTGTCTTGTTCATAAGAATCTATGCACATATAGGACAGTTGTAAGTTTACAATCTTGCTCTTGAAATCTACAGTGGAGCCCCACCTTACGACCACCCCGTTTATAAGACCACCTCGTTATCGCGGCCACATTCTTTTAAACCAAACGTAGTAAACCATTGAGTCATTTTATTATTTTGAAGACCCCGTTACTGCTACCACCTCGTTATTACGACCAGGATTTTATGGCCCAACGGTGGTCGCATTAATGGGGTTCCACTGTATATGTTTTATTGATTTGTGACAAGTGCACTTTCCTCAGGATGAAAACAAAGACACAATAGCGAAATTTATTACCCTTTTTCTCTAATTTCTTTTAGCAATCGCGAAAATTAGTCCTCGCGAAATGCGGCTCCCGAATATTCGCGAAATTAAGTACGCGCGAAAATTAATAAGAATAAGATAGATAGCAATTTTTGACATCTTCGTTCCCATGGCGCTTTTCCCTGGCCTTTTCCCGCCCCACCCCCAAAGCCAGGGAAAAGCGCCCTGGGGACGAGGTTGAATGTTTGAGTAAATCCGTGGATTTAATCCGTGGAATGAAGGCTAGACATGTTTTAAAATTTGACGATCCTAAAGTCCTCTTTTTTTTCTTTAAAATTTTGTGCTAATAAAAGGTGTTGTTTTACTTTAACAACATAACCCGCAAGCCGCAGTTAACGCCAGTTAATACGGACACCCTGTTTATACAAACACTTTCTATGGACCCTTCAGTGTCCGTATTAACGAGGTTTGACTGAACAGTGTTTATTGATAACATGACCCGCGGGACACCCCGTTAATCAATACGGATACTTTCTATGGACCCTTCAGTGTCCGTATTAACGGAGTTTGACTGAACAGTGTTTATTGATAACAAGACCCGCGGGACACCCCGTTAATCAATACGGATACTTTCTATGGACCCTTTAGTGTCCGTATTAATGGGGTTTGACCCGCGGGACAGCCCGTTAATCAATACGGACACTTTCTATAGACCCTTTAGTGTCCGTATTAATGGGGTTTGACCCGCGGAACACCACGTTAATCAATACGGACACTTTCTATGGGCCCTTCAGTGTCCGTATTAACGATGTTTGACTGAACAGTGTTTATTGATAACATGACCCCCGGGACACCCCGTTAAACAATAGGGACACTTTCTGTGGACCCTTCAGTGTCCGTATTAAGAGGGTTTGACTGAACAGTGTTTATTGATAACAAGACCCGCGGGACATCCCGTTAATCAATACGGACACTTTCTATGGACCCTGCAGTGTCTGTATTAACTGGGTTTGACTGAACAGTGTTTATTGATAACATGACCCGCGGGACATCCCGTTAATCAATACGGACACTTTCTATGGACCCTTCAGTGTCCGTATTAACTGGGTTTGACTGAACAGTGTTTATTGATAACATGACCCGCGGGACAGCCCGTTAATCAATACGGACACTTTCTGAGGACCCTTCAGTGTCCATATTAACGAGGTTTGACTGAACAGTGTTTATTGATAACAAGACCCGCAGGACAGACCGTTAATCAGTACGGACACTTTCTGAGGACCTTTCAGTGTCCATATTAACGAGGTTTCACTGAACAGTGTTTATTGATAACATGACCCGCGGGACAGCCCGTTAATCAATACGGACACTTTCTATGGACCCTTTAGTGTCCGTATTAATGGGGTTTGACTGTACTTAGCTACTTAATGCTCTTCCGCGGCTACACGAAGAGATTTAGCCTGTTTTTTTGCAAAGTGTTGGATACCTTACTGCACTCAATTAAACGCCGCGGTGTTTCCAATGCGGTATTTATTCAAAGGCGGCATTTAGTTCAAAATAGAATTTCTGAAATCACTAACAACGATTATGGTAAATCATTTGTGAATATTATTAAAACAGGAGGACATACATTCAAATTTCCAATGTCTTACTTTTTTGCCAAGATAGAATTGTAATTGACTGAACAGTGTAGATTACCAAGTTGTACCAAGTGTTTCTTTCTAATCCTCGAGTAAAAGCCGGATTACTTTATCGGGTGCGGTGATAATACGGTTAGCATAGCTATGTCCTCTTCCCCAGTTGTCATTGCCGATACGACTACCCAGATATACGTTAAATTTTTTACATAATTTGTGTACAATAAGTTCATGAAACATTCATACTTTATTTTATTATAATATTTTCTTGTTATTCGCAAATGACCAGGCACACTTAAATGAATTCACCTTCCCTCATGTCAAAGCAGCATGTCCCGTTTCCCGCCGTGACGCAATGCTTTAAGCTGATTGGCTACTTTCTATTATCTGTTGTATTTTCTTGGATTTGATTGGCTCATACAAGCTGTCCTATTTTTCTTAAATTGGACAGTTTGCTTTTTCCAATATTAAAGTCATATTTAAAACTATCCAAATAAATCCTTAACTGGTCAGTTTTAAAACTTAAAGAATAATAGTTATGCTGACAGTATCGGATTAACTTCCAGGTCTCGGTTGTTCAAACGTTGGTTAGTGCTATTTTCCGGATTAATCACTATCCAGCGGATAAGAATTAATGAAACCAGTTGCGCTTTTCAGTGGATAGAGGTTTATCCAGCGGATAGCGTTATCCACTTTTGAACAACTGGGGCCGGACCAGCTGTATAATTAAAATGCTAATGAGCAAGGTCTCAAAGTTGCTCTGTTATCCTCAGGACCCCGGAGTATACACAATGCGTGGTAAAAGGCCTAGGGACTAGGTATTTCCCTTTCTACTCTTTTGTATAAGGAATTTTTTATTTTAAGAATGTTGGGACTAACTTTGGCGAAGGCTGAACAATATGTAAGGCGAAACCCATGGCTGTGTTTTTGTTACAAATGAAGATTGCGCGTTGACGAACAAGATAGCGTGTTGATAAGAGCGTCGGAAGGAGGATCCTCTAGTAATTTGAGGCCTGGGACTCGGGGGTCAGCACCAGTGGAAAATGATTTATTGGCTATAACTTCGAAGCTGAACCAAAATTTGGCACGCATAAAGGACTCATCGCCCTTAACATTTTAAAATATATATATTGTGTCAGTAAGTCACGTGATATGTCACGTGACCATTTTGCTAAAAAATCGTACATAATTGACGAAATGGTGGCGGGTTTAAGAAAAGAAATTGAGTAATAACATTTTTGTTATTCAAATTAAATATTTCTAACACTTCACGTTTGGAATGACCGTCCATAGCACTTCCATAAAAAATTAAACGGGTAAACATCCTTTTAAATGATTAAATTTCATCTTAAATTATTTAAAACTTTAATTTAGAACTTTGCGTACATTCATTCCAAACGTAGAAAGTTAGGTGTGTTTATCCTCTATCAGAAATGCTAATTTATTTATCCAAACAAAGTAAATTCGCGGAAAGAGCAGCTGGTAAAAAAGGGGCGGATCGAGAAATTTTCCTTAAGGGAAGGGGGGGCGAGGGTGGGTCCAACTTGTGCACACCCTTATTGATGCAAATAATTTCCTCTCTTCCTCGCCACTTCATTAGTCTCTACTAAGTAAACCCTTGCTTAGATGATACACATCTCTGAAACTTTCGTCTGTTGTGTTTAGTGACGAAGTAACAGTTGTCCGATATTTTGAGGGTGGTTCGGATCCCACCCACCCTACCCCTGGAGAGTTATTGAAATGTTACAAAGCAGGAGACATGGAATTTAAAGATTGAATAGAAAGAAAAAATATTAAGCTTGTAGGAGGGAGGCTTAGAATTTGTACGTTTCTCGGCGGAGGAGCAGCGAGTAACCTGAGAAAACAGCTCACATTTCGCGACGCCACCACTGGTTTCCCCGCGAAATGACGTCTGACAAACAATTGCAGAAATTCCATACTGATGACGCGTCACTACCCAGATCTGGGTAGTACTTCTGATTGGATGATGCAAGTTTTCCACCAATCGGGAGCACCCCAGATCTAGGTAGTGACGCGTCATCAGTATGGAATTTCTGCGGTCGTTTCTCAGACGTCATTTCGCGGGGAAACCAGTGGTGGCGTTGCGAAATGACGGCTGTTTTCTTAGACTAAGCTGCGAGGGAAAGTTTCGATTTAACGTGCTCCCAAACTTCTCGTGGCTCCGGCGCACCCCATCTAATCCCGCCGGCTACGCAGGCTATTACACGGATTACACCAGAGTGCAGAGTTGACGTATGGTAAGAGAGAATTATAACAAAGGTTTTAAGGTATCCGAAAGTGGATATCTTGATCTACAGAAAATTTCTAAAACTTTAGACTTTCGTAGATAGCAGAGATGTGGAGTTTCCACGAAATGTGCCTTCTGCACACATACTATAGGAGAATTATTTATTAAGATGTTTGTACTGATGGGATAATATGTTTGCGCTGTGGATAAAATAACAAGTAAGAGTAATGGAGGTAGACTTTTCATGGTGGATAGTGAGTATATTTGCATTAAACTAAGAAGAAACAAGAAAGAGCTCTCGATTAAAATTTGTGTAAGTAGCTAAGTCTTAATGACGTACGAATATATTAGTATCATATGCAAAGAGGATTAATGAGAGGTGACTTGAAGAGGAAAAGAGGAGAGAGCCCCCTGGAGAGAGCCCAAGAAGAGAGTCTTGGGGAAACTCAAACACAACATTGTTAATTGACTGTTCTCTGTGAGCTAAATAACTGGTAAGCCAAGTGAACGGAACACCGCGGATACCATAGAAATAGGCCACTTCCGAGTTCCAAAAACCCTCACTTTCAAATTGAGGCCAAGTGCAAAACCTTTCTTGTGAAAATGAGTTTTATTTGCATGAGAATGAAAAATCATTTCAGATCAAAGGCTGAGCACTTAACCTCGTTTTGATACAGATGCCCGCGGGAACTCGGCAAAGGCCTATTCATTTTATCAATTACACTGGAACCCCTATTCAGGGGATACCCTCGGGACCAAGGCAAGTGTCCCCTGAATGGAGGTTGGGCTGAGGCTTGTTAAAAAAAATGAATGAAGAAATAAAATATTTTTATTTGAGCTGAAAAAGGCGTCTGCTCTTGCAGGCTGTGGAATCTGTTGCAGTCATTATTTAAAGAAGATAGATAATGCAAAAAAGACGATGAATAACTTATCTCTGCAATGTAGTGTGTAGATTCCCACGCAGACGTTCTTACGGGTTCGTCACGCAATCATTTGTAGGAACGCGTGACCAACCCCTAAGAACGTTTGCGTGGGAGGCTATGTGTAGGCTGTGTGCTATGTAGTGTCCTGAATTACCACAAGTGCAGTACATGAGTTAATTCATTTTTGAAAGCAGTCTCTGGAAAGCACTCGTCATTGTGACTAATGAACACTTAAACTAAATCACTTTTTGATTACTAAGGTGTCCCCTGATTGGAAGTTAACCCCAGGTTTTTAGGGCCCAGAAAAAGTGTCCCTTTCCCCTGAATAGAGGTGTCCCTTCAATAGAGGTAACAAATACAAAGATTATATGAACATTTCTCCGGGACCAAATTTTGTGTAGTCTGAATGGAGGTGTCCCAAAGGAGAGGTTCCACTATAGTATCTATTTTTTTTCAACCGAAATGCTTAACTTTACTTTAAAAAATGCTCTTTTAATGTACGTGAGGGAGCGCGTGCGCGTGAATAAAGCCCCTGCTATAAAGGAGAAAATGATTAAAATGGGTCAGTGCGGTAACACGTAACTTGCGATCGGGCGCCTGACAGTGTGCTCATTGGCCTGAGTGTCACAAGTTCCAGGATATCATTTAAAGGTTAGACAACACAAACTACTTAGTATTAACTACTACTAAGTACTTAAATACACACCTTCACAATACAGTTAGTCATTTCTGTTCGAGCGACACAGCTGAAAACGATCTTAACAGCAATCCACGTAAAAATCGAGCTGGCGAATGGTTACTAGCCTGCTACAGCTCTCTTGTTGGTATTTTGCGCTATCAAAATTCGCGTTGGCCTTCGCGCAAGGCGTTGCTACAGGCGGTGGAGATTACAAACAAATCACCGAATCGCTTTTGCTGAGCTAATCGTCAACTTTGCAACCTTGTATTTTCGCGCAGAAGTTCGGACTGAGGTTGCTCTAACATTCTGCTGTTAACGTGGATTTCCACTGAGGAGTTATTTTTACACGCGTATGGACGTATAATTTACCTGCGAAAATAAAATAAAGGCGTTGTATGAAAAGTCGCTCGTAAACGTTAATATTGAACCTCCTTCAAGTTTTTCGTTTACGCGCTACACTGCAACATGCTGGGTATTAGATCAAAACCGTCTAGAGAACCCTTATGCATGCGTACGTAGATCGAGTAGACTATGTTCAACACGAGTAGCTTACATTCCTTGCTTAAATCAACATACATCCTTCTTGTTTCATCTCCTTTTGCCTCGCTTGTTACCAGCCGGTGGCCTTTGAAGCTGAAACTTCGGTTGTGCAGTAAACGCTGAAGTCCCTGTGCCAAAACCGGTTCCCCCAAGTCCTGTTCCTGTGGAGGCAAAAGCTCCTCCTGTGGAGGACCCAAGGGCAGGGGTACCAAATCCTCCTGTAAGACTTGGGGTCCCAAATCCAGTGGTCGCTCCGAGACCCGTGGCTCCTAAAGTGTTGGTACCAAGAGGCGTTCCAAATGTGGAGCCTGATGTTAGACTGGTACCACCGAGTCCTGTGGTGGTGCCAAATGGATTTCCCAGAGACGATGTTCCTGCTGCCCCCAAAGAACCTGTTAAACCGGCAGGGTTTGTCTGAAAACTGCCAATCCCTAGGGTAACAAAAATGTACCAAAATTGTTATCAAGTCCGCTTTATCACTTATAAGCAATTCCACAAGATTTATATAGTTCTCGGCGTGATAAACAGCCTTTGCTAAGTTATGATGTAGATGTACAATGGAGTTCAAAAGCGTTGGGAAATGCAAAGCAATATTAGGAAACTGGCGACCTCCCCCCCTTCCCACCCTGCAATTTTTGTAAATTGGTGGAAATCACCTTCGAACTCTTCTTGGCATTTTTGCAAGATGTCCCAGTATACTGGGTTTTAATGTTCAAACTTGGTGCCTTTTGCGAAATTCTTGAAGCTCATTGGGTGAGCAGAGAGGGGTAATGGGTCATGAAATCTACGGATCGATTTACGTTTCTGAGAACTGTCCACCTACCCCTACCCTAAGCCATCATTTTGCCCTTAATGAGAAGTAAGTGTTAATGTTAGCTTTGGGGAGGGGTAGGTCGACAGTTTTCCAGAAACCTTAATTGATCAAAATCTACCATGGAGGGCAAAAGAACTTTGGACGCAGTGGAAAAACCCTTGCAGGCAATTACAGGTAAAAAGCAATCATGACATTGCCATTATTGTTACAACATGCTGTAAGCCGCTTTCAATAGAACACACGCACCAAGTATCCAGTAAATTCAATACCTGATATATTTGTGGCGGTTGACGAAGCAGACGCTGAATTATTGGATAATACACGAAAAGGATTGGGACCAAGGCTAAATTCTGCACCTAAGAAACAAAAAGGATAAGAGGAAAGTTAAAGCGTCAATCGTAGAAAAATTTAGAAGCGAGTCAGTGCCTTAAATAATAAAATTTAAAATCGTCTGAAGTGATAAATGGACATTCTGATATCTGATATAGCCAAAAATAAGCCACGTAAGAACTAAAATGAATTTCAAAGCAAGGATAAAATTAAACTACAACATGGACAATATGCTTACTTGTCTTCGATAGGTCCTTTAAGACGCTTGAAAATACATCTGTGGTGTCCTTGAAATAAGCTCTTCTGTAGTTAAGATATTGTTCCTTTTGAACCTGGTGCAATAATCAAAAAATGTTTCAGATAGTCATCATTTTCCAGCCTTAATCATCTTTGCGTAAGCATGGAGAAGAACTCCAAGTTCTTACTGCGCTTTTCATAAACACGCGAATCCTGAGGTTCAAAAGCCAACTGACGTTTGCATTCTTCGCTGCCGTCAGTCATCTTAGCGGATCTCTTAGGAAACAGAAGTTTACTTCAACGGATTTAAAAGGTCATGGTTTGTGATTGGTGGATTTCAATCCGTTTTATGTGTTTGTGTTTTAAGGTTCGTTGCTCGTGATCGTAATTATGATTCACGGCAGCGAAAAACGCCCAGTTGTGAAGGCGACTTTTGAACTTCAGAGTTCGTGTGTTTTTGAAAAGCGCAATAATATCGGAGTCTCCAAGAGACTATATGGAGAAAGAATTTAAACAACATAATCTTAGATTTATATCATCTTGAATAATAAGCTAATATCCTCGGGAGAAAAAAGAAACAAAAAATGATTTCAGATGAAAAAAGAAGGAAAGGTTAATAGTGTACGGTCAAGAGACGGGTTTGTATGATTTTCACGAGAATTCTTAAAAGGAAAAAAATCGAATATTATTCAATACTCTTTAAAACTAGTTGAAAAGGTTAGGTTTATTATTTAAGTTGCGATTCACTTCCAAATCATTATCCGCGGTAAGAGACCACGGTAAATAACTTAAGTGCGTGCCCAGGGTATTTCTTAAAAAAAATAAAAAAAAAAACACCAACAACAACAAAAACAAAACAAACAAAAAACACGAGAACATTTTTTGTTGCTACTGATACAATAAATCTGTTTGTTTTTCATTCACATTACTCCTGATGACAACATAAGTGTCCTTTTAAAGCGAAAGCTGAACTAATTTATGGGTAAAGGTTTAGTCTGCAGCATAATTATTAAACTGATGTTTTCTTTGTTCAGAGCTCGTACAATGTGGATCCTTTTTTAGGACTTCTATGAGTCCTGTTTGCTTAAATATACCAAAACCTAAAGCGTAGTTCCCACTTCATCGTCTGCTCCGCCTTAAGCTGTTTTCAGGCGAACACGACGATCATATGTATATAATTCTGACGTGTTGGGGAGTAATCGGGACAATTTAGGGAAATCATTACCCAGTCCTCAAAGCCTCATTATTCCGCGCGGCCAAGAGCCATGATAGGCTCTTGGCGCGGCCAATACGTTTCGTGACACGTGGTCCACCTGTTTTCCTCGGTTATGTCACCAAAGAGAATTGACCGAAAAGGCGTGGGAAAACACCGTATAGGGCCTAGGCAAAGGAAATCATCATTGCCTGGACACAACAGACAAGGACTGGGAAAAAACAGGGCGGAAACGTCCTCTCCATTCCACCTTTCTTCCCGGTCCTCTGTCTTTCCTCTTTCCGCGCTCGCTTTCTTTTTTGCTCGTTTTTTTTTTCCGACTAACTTGCCTAAAACGGGTTAGCTGGTTGCCTTATAACGAAACCAGGCTTTACCTTGACGGCTTCGTGAATTTCATGAAGCTGTGCTGCTAAGGCGATAAATGTTTCATGGAGCTTGTGCATGACATCAGAGAGATCTAGAAAATAATAAGGGTGAAGAAGGGTTAACAAATTCAATTAAGGTGACTCGACCCAGTTTTTTTTGAGGGAGTACCATCCTACTTTGAAGCTCTCTGGTATCCCCACCTTTACTTTTATCGTAAGTCTAACACATAGAATGGATAACATATAGATCAATCTACAATATAACATAAAATTTTTGGCGATCGGAGTAAATGTCACGTGGTTATAATGCCACGCCCCTTTGAGGTCTGAGTCGAAAATCTGCTGTT